CCACTTACCCACCTACCCACCTACCCGCCTACATACTTACCAAACTACCCACCAAAAAAGTATCGGCGAAGTTCGTAAGTTTCGTAAACTGTACTAGACATCTTTTTTTTTAATGAAAATTCATTGACATCATTGACATACGTTACATATATGTTACATTTTGCGACAACCTTAATTAGTGCGTTGGGCTTGTATGAAAACTCACTTCGAACTAACTCAATTACATGCTATTAATTTTAATATTACACGGTAAGCGTCACCCAACTGTTGTGATGTGAGGTGAGGACAGGTTCGACAATAAACCAACACGAAAGTACGAAAGAGACATAGATTGCCTATTAGAGAATGGACCCCTTAACTTTCCTAACCCCACCATTTTTTATACCCTACCTAACCTCTAAATTTACTGCGCTAAATGTCACTTCCCTCCCAATCGTTCCTATTCTACAGAATTGTGTATACTATTTATTTACATTTTTTAATCTCAATATAACTAAAATAGACTTTTGTTTGAAGGGTAATGAAAACATGTAAACAAAAGGGACGCTACTCTAAATCTATGCGAATACTTATATGCAGTGGCGTAGGCAGGGGGGGGTTTATGGGGGGTCATAACCCCCCATAGACCCCTCGGTATATATATATATATATATATATATATATATATATATATATATATATATATATATATATATATATATATATATATATATATATATATACGAAAAGTTTACGAAACTTACGAACTTCGCCGATACTTTTTTGGTGGGTAGTTTGGTAAGTATGTAGGCGGGTAGGTGGGTAAGTGGGTAGGTGGGTAGTTAGGTAGGTAGGTAGGTAGGTGGGTAGTAGGTAGGTAGGTAGGTGCGTCATGATGTGAAAAAATATTAAATACAAAATTGTTATTTTGGTGCGAATGAATGTTGTTACGAGAGATATGACGAATGCATGTTTGATGACGCGGATGAAAGAGAGTGAAGTTTTGCCATAGGAACGGGTTGTTATAGTATGCAAGCTAGGTAGTTCGGACTAGGGAGAATGTGAAAGATACTTCGTGTAATGTCGATAGTTTTATGTTTATACGAGAATAGTAGTTGAATAATTATTGACCAAGAAAATAATAGGCATTGTGTAAAGTGATTATCGCCTGTATCGTGGTGATGGGAATGCAGATGGTAGTGGTACGCTTTAAATGGTAGTAGATCACGTGATCAAACACGACACTCTCACAGCAGCCCTAACAGTCATGTATAAAAATGTCATCTAGTCCATATGGTCTTTGTGCTAAATTTCTCTTTTGCACATTTTTCGTTGTGTTTTTTCTGGTTGCGCATTTTTCTGTTTCTGTTTGCGCTTTTTTCCGTTTGCGCTTTTTTCTGTGTGCGCTTTTTCTGTTTGCGCTTTTTTCCGTTTGCGCTTTTTTCTGTTTGCGCTTTTTTCCGTTTGCGCTTTTTTCTGTTTGCGCTTTTTTCCGTTTGCGCTTTTTTCTGTTTGCGCTTTTTTCTGTGTGCGCTTTTTTCTCTTTGCGCTTTTTTCTGTTTGCGCTTTTTTCTCTTTGCGCTTTTTTCCGTGTGCGCTTTTTTCTCTTTGCGCTTTTTTCCGTTTGCGCTTTTTTCCGTTTGCGCTTTTTTCTGTGTGCGCTTTTTTCTCTTTGCGCTTTTTTCCGTTTGCGCTTTTTTCTCTTTGCGCTTTTTTCTGTGTGCGCTTTTTTCTCTTTGCGCTTTTTTCCGTGTGCGCTTATTTCCGTTGCGCTTTTTGATTTGCGCTTTTTTCCGTTGCCCTTTTTTCCGTTGCGGTTCTTTCCGGCACCACTCAGGGGAGATAATTCCAAGTATAGGCCTTAAAGGTTTACTATGATATTTCTTGTAAAAGTAAAAATCAAGCAAACGTATATTATAAAAACGAAGTTTCTAGTATTATATTCTTTTTTATTATTTGTAGGATACAAGATAGTACAGAATACAAATTCAACCACTATCACTAACACATATTAACATTGAAAAATGTTCAATGGATTTCGGCGGGTCCCTAACTAATGCCGCAAAGAAGAACAGCGCATCATGAAAGCCACTTCATATGTAGCGGCTTCTCGTGCTATGGTCTTTGTTGTTTTTTTAAAAAGAATTTTGCCGGCGACAGCGTGGGGAAATAGAACTCGGCCTTGACGATGGTTAAAAAATACAACTATAAATAAAAAGAAATGTTATCCCCATCCCCTGCCCCATCCGCCAAAGTACACTTTGGAGGATCGGTCAAACAGTTACGTGTCCTCTATTTAGCTATCAAAGGGGGGCAACGAGTCAAATGTGTCATTTAAATTTGAAGCGTTGCCTATATTTTACACTGTATTTTGTGTAATGGATTTTATTTTTTTGCTGAAGAGCGTGGTATAGTGACTGTAAAATAAAGATAATCGTACCGCAGCTACAGTGTTTTTCTTTTACAAACTAAATATCAAGGCAAAAATGCACGAAAATTAAATTCAAAATTTAAAAAAAATACTAATTATGGTCAGCAGTGGGCCCCTAAACGGCCTGCCCCCCCCCCCACTCGCATTGCGGGGTCTGGGGGCACTGTAGTTCCGCCCCTGTATAGATCTTTTGGTTGTTTTTAGGCTTAAAAGCTAGATCATTGTATCCTAAAAAATTTTAACTTTAATGTATTTAGTGTTAATAACTAATGTTCCATTAATACGTGTACTAATTATAAAACGATTAATAATATAAAGACGAGTCTTACCTTCCTTGTTGTGTGAAATAGATTCGTCAACGAAATACTTTATCAGGTAAATGAACAACTGACTAGTGTCTTTAACAAAATGTGCAAAAGTGGCCAGTTTACAGTTCAGTAGTTCATAAACGGTTTCGTTAATCTATGCATTACATCTTATTGTAAGAGTAAGGGTGTGGTGAGCGGTAGAGGTTAGGGGGATGGGGGGAGGGTAGAGAGTTGGGAAGGTTCAACGGAAGGGGACAAGAAAGCACCGATGAACATCTACATCAATAGTGCCGACTTTTTCCGGTCGTCTAGAAGACCAGGATAGTCGCCGCAACATTTCCCCAGCCCGATTTTCAAAGCTTTTTTGTTCTCCTAATCGACGCCACTAAACAAGAACGGTAGGCTGCGTCTTTGAAGTTGTCTATATGTCTGGCGGTCTCTCGAGCAATAGTCTGTGCATTTTTCTCAAAGACGTTTGCCGACTATTGTGTTTGTTTGTAACTGTAGAAGAAAGATAACTCGACATCCACCTAATTTTTTTTATTTAAATTTAAGAAAAAAAATTTTTAAATAATTTAGCCAGGATTTTTGGGCCCCCAATTGGTCTGGGCCCCCCCCCCCCCGCATTGCGGGGTCTGGCGGCACTGTAGTTCCGCCCCTGCCCCTGCGCTAGAAATAGGCGAAGCCTGTAACGCTTTGAACCAACATAATTTTTCAAATGTATAGGTCTGCTGTTTTAAACGTTAGGACTTGTTATTTGAAGCGACAGGTCGGTTGGTGACGTTGTTTTTATTTATATAAGTAATAAGTATTAAAACCTAACCTAGACGCCAGAAGGCAGCTTCAAGAATACTTCTCGAGTTATCTCAAAGGTATAATAAATTAAGTTATAAAGTCATAGTTCATTGACAGTGACGGATTAAGGTGTTCAACAAGAGGCCACTAATTTTTTGTTAACAAAGAAAGTAAAAAGTGTCCAATCAACTTTTTTTTGTTTATTTGCTACCTTCTAAATGAATGTTGTATGACCAAACCAGATGCTTTTCCCCCTCTTTTAGGCGCGCTCTAACTAAAATAATAAAACACGACAAATGAGTAAATTACGCCAGGCTAGCGTTCTTTGTCAGATCTGAAAGTTTTGAGTGGACTGATTACACATACAAACAAAATACAAAATGATATATATTATAACTCTGCGCCTTCCGAATATTTTGCACACTCATGTTTTTTAAGATATCCAACCTTCAGTGGGTGGGTGGAAGGACGGGCGGGCGCACGGACAGACTGACAGACATATTATAGATGTAGATATAGATATAGATACAGATACAGACACACACACACACACAGATACAGACACGGATACATATATAGATATAGATATAGATATAGATATAGATATAGATATAGATATAGATATAGATATAGATATAGATATAGATATAGATATAGATATAGATATAGATATAGATATAGATATAGATATAGATATAGATATAGATATAGATATAGATATAGATATAGATATAGATATAGATATAGATATAGATATAGATATAGATATAGATATAGATATAGATATATAGATATAGATATAGATATAGATATAGATATAGCCGTGGCGGAACTAGAAAAAAGGGCCCCCTCCGCAAAAAAAATGTTGGGCCCCCATATATATATATATATATATATATATATATATATATATATATATATATATATATATATATATATATATATATATATATATATATATACACGATATATATATATATATATACACGATATATATATATATATATATATATATATATATATATATATATATATATATATATATATATATATATATATATATTTATTTATTTATTTATTAAGGTCGGCTGTGGGCCCCTAAACTGCCTGGGTCGTCCCCCCCAAATGCGGGGTCTGACGGCACTGTAGTTCCGCTCCTGAGATATAGATATATAGATATCTTTACTTTCTCTCACTTACTCATCCACCACTCGCTTACTCGCTCACTCGCTAACGTATTCATTCATTCATTCATTTATTTTATTTATTTTCAAAAGGGTTTAGCGAATATAATATACGTATATATATATATATATATATATATATATATATATATATATATATATATATATATATATATATATATATATATATATATATATTTATATATATATATATATATATATATATATATATATATATATATATATATATATATATATATACATAATATACAAATTATATATCTATATTCACATTTATATTAGGGTGAAGCCCGAGTGCTAAAATATATGGAATTTAAAAAAATAAAAGAATCCGAGAGACAAAGGAAGTTTCAAGCAATCTTAAATGCCGAATCCCCTTTTTACAATAGACATAAGATATTGGACTTTGTTACTAACAGGGAGTACAGTAAGTTTTCTTTTGTATCTTTCATAAAAATTTATTTATCAATTTAAATCACTGGTTGCCAAAACGGGCTGAATAGCTCCTTATTTGCGGTGTAATGGCGATAGAAACCTCATTGTATTTAGAGTTGAGGCTGATAAAAGAGGTAGGGGTAGGTTATTTTACTCATTCCCCAATTTTTAAAATACCGTTTCTTTAAGGTGGATGAAGTGCATTATATATATATATATATATATATATATATATATATATATATATATATATTTATTTATTTATTTATTTATTTATTTATTAATATTTATTTATTTGTTTATTATATATATATATATATATATATATATATATATATATATATATATATATATTTATTTATTTATTTATTTATTTATTTATTTATTTATTTATTTATATATATTTATTTATTTATATTTATTTATTTATTTATTTATTTATTTTTTTTTGTTTATTTATTTATTTGTTTATTCATTTATATATATTTCTTACAAACTAGAGTGATTTACAGTGACCGGAAAAAGTACTTTGCTGCATTTCTTTTTTGAGAGAAACCTCTGTCATTACAAGCTTTTATTTAACTCACTTCCTTTGTTTGACTAGATCGAAACGCCGGAGCGAAAATTCGGACACTTCTACTTGACCGATACGGTTCACACTTGGCACGTGGGTCACGACATGAAGACAATGCAATGTGAAATTAAATTTGACTTAATTGGATTCCTAATTAATTTTTATGAATTAATCAATATTTGGACCGAATTAGTAGGCATTTCTATCGAACTGCACTACACGCGTCATCACGTTCAATAGCGCGTCATCACGTTTCAATCGGCGCGCAATGGTTTTTAGTAATGAAACTGTAGTGTAAATAAAAACATGTAAAGTACTAAAAAAAATTTTCATAAAAAACGTTTTAATAACAAGCTTTTATGTAATAATGCACTAAAAAGTAGAAAATAAATTATAGACTACTATTTAAATAACTAGAAAGAAAAGCGTGGGTCACTTTAGCATCTATTGGATACCTTTGCTAATGTTTAGGAAGAGACCCACGCTTTTCTTTCTAGTTATTTAAATAGTAGTCTATAATTTATTTTCTACTTTTTAGTGCATTAGTACATAAAAGCTTGTTATTAAAACGTTTTTATGAAAAAAATTAAGTTTTATAATCTATCCTTTTAAAGCTTTGTCTAAGTTATTTTAGCCTCAATGATTTTTCTCGGAAAATTTACGGTTCTGACACAAAATTGTATATTGCTGTAGCCCTATTACACAGGAAGAGCCGTCCAAAATCTTTAATATTATTTAACTACATATTTTTTTTTCATAAAAAACGGTTAAATAACAAGCTTTTATGTACTAATGCACTAAAAAGTAAAAAAATAAATTATAGACTACTATTTAAATAACTAGAAAGAAAAGCGTGGGTCACTTTAGTATCTATTGGATACCGTTACTAATGTTTAAGAAGAGACCCACGCTTTTCTTCATAGTTATTTAAATAGTAGTCTATAATTTATTTTCTACTTTTTAGTGCATTAGTACATAAAAGCTTGTTATTAAAACGTTTTTTATGAAAAAATTTTTTTAGTACTTTACATGTTTTTATTTACAATAGAGTTTCATGACTAAAAACCATTGCGCGCTTATTGAACGTGATGACGCGTGTGGTGTGGTCCGTGGTTGGATAGAAATGCCTACTAATTCGGTCAAAATTTTAATTAATTCATAAAAAATTGATTAGGCTTCCTATTAAGTCAAATTTAATCTCACGATGCATTGTCTTCATGTCTTGACCCACGTACCAATTACGAACGTATCTGTCAAGTTGAAGTGCCTGCAATTTTGCTCCGGCGTTTCGATCTAGACAGACTGACGACTGACGATAGACTGACGAGGAAGTAAGTTAAATAAAAGCTTGTAAAAAATTAAATAAAGCAATCACATTGATAGCGACCTCTAAATTGTTTTAGACAACATTGTTACGTATTCTCTCTCAATGTATATATAGACAGAGAGAGAGAGAGAGAGAGAGAGAGAGAGAGAGAGAGAAATAAAGAGAAAGCCTAAAATCTTTTTATATTGATCAGTTCCGTCTGTGTACGGACAAAGAAAATCTTCACCAAATGCCACTGCGATTCAACCAGCTACAGCATCTATTTTAAGCCATCTCTCTCAGAAGCCAGTTACTTGTAAAGAAAGCCCACCAACTCGAAGTGATAACCTGAATACATCGAATGCATCACATAATGATTGTAAGGTAGGCTTAAAACAGCTTTTTAAAGTAAGCAAAACAGTGCGTTTAGTTTTTCAAGTAATACGGAATAATATTACCAACAAATATGTTGTCCATTAATAGACAAACAGATAAATGGACGGACGGACGGGCGGGCGGGCGGACAGACGGACGGGCGGGCGGGTGGGAAAGCTGGTTGGCTGGATTATTTATTTCAGTGGAAAAAAATTAAAACCCACAGAAAAACCAAAAAAGGCAGGAAAATGCACCTATTTTTGTACAACTTGGGACCCTTACCAAAGGAGACGCTTTTGTAAGTTTACCAAAGTAATACAAATTTTCATTTAAAAAATAGATGTCATTTTTGTTAGCTTGTGCTGATTAGACTAAGGGATGTGCGTGTTAGTGTATGTAGGCCTATGTAGTCGCGGATTGGGGGGGGGGGTCTGAGAGGTCAGCAGCAGGGGGGCCCCGATTTTTAGGAATCCCAAATTTTCTCTTTCAAATCATTGTAAATTAAATTCAAAACTAAATTTTTGGTTTAAAAGTTGTAAAAACAAATATCAAACACGTGCAGACACCTAAATATGAATACCAGCTTTCATTGCCTCCTACTCAGACATTGTTAACATTAAGCCGATGCTTCCTAAAATACTAAAGTCCTGACCAGCGTCAATAAAATGAATTGATTTTAAAGTTAAAAGAAACACATAAACAGCAGCCAAATACTGACTAATGCGTTTAGGGGCTACAATTGACCCCTTTTTAAAAATAGTCGCGTCAGATCGTGTAGTGAGGTGGCAACCAAAAAATAAAACATAAATGTCAGGCCTATGGTCTACGGTGGGAATTAGATCTCACTTTATTCAGATAAGCAGTAATTTTAGGGACCTTCAAATTCGCTCTTACTCTTACAAAGAATAATAAATTTTATTTTGTAATGGATTGACGATAGAAGCATGTGGTTGTATATAAACGTTTATTGGCCTTCAACTACATGATGATAACGAGAGAGGACGGAAGTGACGAGAGACAAAGATATATATACATGTAAGGGACATCACTCAAGATAACAGTATAAATATAATACTAATACAAGAAGAGTGAGTTCCCTTGACTTCACAAGTCTCATTATATTACATATTTAGCTACAGAAGTTTACATCTGTCAGTTAAGTAAGTGATCGTTTAAATTACAAGCTGTTTTATGGACCACACAAAGGCCAAACGTACAACGACACCCAGACGTTTTTTATGTGAGTGTAGCGGCCGGGTTGACTCATAAGCGCTATAATCCCCACAAAATAGAAAAATGTGCTGTATTCCAAACGAAATTGAAAAATGTATAGATTTACCGGTCCGGCTGTCTAGACCGGTTTGTTTAAGGTAGGCTAAGAACTATGCTGTGAGTGTATGTTATTTCAAGTGACAAGGCGTTTTTATGTGCCAAATTAATAAACCGAACCTAGACGCCAAGTGTGAGGAATAACGGCATTGAAGGGCTGATTGATAGAAAAATGAAGTTGGCAAAAAAAGTTTTGATCGTTTACAGTGGCGGATCAAAGGGAATTTTAGAAAACCCTCCCCCTCTTACGCAATTTTCATTTATTAACAATTATAGTAAAACATCCCATCGATTTTTTTTTACAATCACTTAACATTTTATTTACCATCTTACTATACATGCGAAATTTCACAGGATTTATTTTTCTGGTTGTAAAAATAAAATTATTACAGTGCTTCGATTACTTGAAATTAAGGTGCAATTTTAAGTTATACTAGACTTACTCGTCATCCCTTGGATGACTGTGGGTTTCGGGGGTCATCAATAAATGACATCAATTCTGTGACTTATCATCACAAAATAACCAGACCCCACATTTAAAAAGACGTTTTTTATCTTTTAAAAACACCTATTTTGGCTGGGCATGGGTCTGACCACACTATCCCTTCATATACTGACGTCACAGGTGACCTTTTAAAAGTTCTATTAATTTTAATGACACCGACTTTAAAATTTAGCCTTCATTATCCAAAGCAAATTTTAAAATGCGTTTCTGGCCACCTATAGCATGTTTATATAACATGAAAACCCGCCATTTTGCTGGAGGTAAACATGGCCTAAAAATGGTCGGAAGTCGTGCGTCCGCTCCGGACGCCATATTGTTGTTAGCAACCGACCACGCCTCCAAGTTAGCGAGTAATCCTACTATATCTAGATCTAGAACCTAGATAGATGAATCCCATGCATTTTCGAACTAGGTTATCATTGAAGCTAAACAAAGATTTATATAAAATAATTAAGGCCTGAAATAGATTCTAGATGTAGAATTTACATTAAGTCTAGATCTAGTATTTACGTTAAGTCTAGTAACCTCATAGATCTAGATCTAGATCTAGGTTCATAACTTTTTCTTTCTTCGACAGCTGATCTGTAGATCTAGAGAAATGTATTGTATAATAAAATAAAAAGAAGTGTTAAAACATTGATAATAGTGTTGAAACGTAATAAAAATAGCAAATGGACGTATTGTTAAAGTTATAGCCGACAGAAAATTAGCTTCTTAAGAACGCGTTAAAGATCTGAATCGGCAACGAAATCTTTGATTGAAGCCGCCATTTATTGTACTAAAAAGTAAACAAATCATGTGACGTCACTATTCAGTCAAAGTAAAGCCATTGTTTTAAACTTTTTTAATTAACATGGTTAATCTACCAATAAATAAATCAATAAATTAATTAACGTCTTTAAATAAATTTGTGATTAACAGTCTGTCTGAAAACAAAAATTGTTCTCTACCTAATTACTATTTTACAGCTCTACACATAGTGCAGATTCTCTCATGTAGCCAATCGGACAAACAAATAAATATTCAAAAACAAACTTGAGTTTTAGTAGTATTTAGTTAGATAGAAGATAGATGTAACAGGAAAGGTGAAATAAACAGCATTCTATAGAATACCTAGGCCTGAAATGGGTCGTCAAAATATGAAATGCATCAATAGTTCGCAGTCCTTTTATACAATACCAAATAACAAACACGCAGAGTTAAGAATAATTACAAAATAGAATTTAGAATAATTACAAAATATCAAGCGTTATGGAGTGGATTAAGGATTGGGTTAGGGTTAGGGTTTATGTTAACTCACATTAATCACAAGAATATAAAGTCACCGTCGCAAACATAATCTTTACATTTATTAAAGAATAAACGTTTTTTTACAAAAATAACTCGATTTTCATAACAATGCTTAGAATTATCAAAAATTTTCATTTAAATTTAACATTTAGTAGGACAAACGGCCTTCAGGAAAGTAGCTTTCGGACATTTGTCCAGTTAGGGCAACTTTCCATTTAGGCATTTGTCCCGTTAAGGCATTTGTCCCATTCGGGCAAGTGTTCATTCGGACATTTGTCGCGTACGAGCAAGTGTCCACAAGGATAAATTGCCTTCGCGAAGACGCAATTCGGGCGAATGGCTTTCGGGAATTTGTCATAGAACCTTATAGGGATCCCCAAAAATTTCCGCGGGGACCCTGCTCAAGCTTAATCTTCCCCTGCATGTATATTTCTATTTATGCACTCATGTATGCATGTATGTATATATTTATGCATGTATGCCCGTATGCATTATGCATGAATGTATGCCTGTAAGCCTGTACACATGTATGTTTGCATGCATGGAAGTCTGTCGGCATTGTCACTATGTATTGTATGTATGTATGTTATCTATGTGTTTATGTGTTTATTTAGTATATGTGAGTATATATGTATGTATTTGTGCATGCGTGCGTGTAGCCTATGTATGTAAGAGAGGGTGGGTGGGTGGTGGATTAATGTACGGGCCGAAAGATGTAGGCCATAAGTAGATAAGCAGAATTAGATGAAGATTTCGATCTAGACGGTGAGTAATAAGTGTATAGGTAAACTTTTTATGCGGATGTTCTACAATTTTTAGGGACTTAGAGCTTGCTTAGAACCTGAAGAGCACGGGCCATCAGTAAGTCTTGTAAGTGATACATTTTATTAATTTGTTCTAAGTTTTCTTTACAAATTTTAATTAATTTTGATGCATCTTGCTGTTGGTCGTGATAGTGGTAAGGATTTTTTAAATCCAGCAATAATGTTTGTACTAACATGTGTTTGTTAGATAACTACTGCTTTAAAAATTTCTATTGGAGTTGCAAATATTTGAAAATTATTTTTACAATTGTTTTTTACATTGTAGATTTGTGTGATCTAAACCATGTTCTAAAACTAATAATAGCCAAATAAACGTTTTAATAACAAGGTTTTACATAATTAACTACTAAGAAGAAAGTAAATTATTTTTTTAGATCTAATAAGGTTATTCAATACATAAAATGGTTAAAGAAGAGAATCGGATAGCTAAAAAACAAATTCGCACCAAATGAATACTAACAGTATACGTATAATACTGCGGAGGATGTGTAACGCTTTTCTTTATAGTTATTTAAATAGTAGTTTATAATTTATTTTCTACTTTTTGTGCATTATTACATAAAAGCTTGTTATTAAAACGTTTTTCATGAAATTTTTTACAAGCTTTTATTTAACTCAGTCTGTCTAGATCTAAACGCCCGAGCGAAATTGCAGTCACTTCTAACTGACAGATACGATTCGCAATTGGTACGTGGGTCAATACATGAAGACAGTGCAACATGACATTAAATTTTACTTAATTGGTTGCCTTGGGGGGGGGGGGGGGGGGGCGGTGGTGCGGAACGCAACTGGTGACACCATTTAGGGGGTGACACCAAGGCAATAAATAGCAAAATATATAAAGAAAAATGATAAGTCCACTTAATTAAGCGATTAATTCAAGTGTTAAATAGTCTTTTGAGAGCACATTTGACAAATCGCGACAGGAGTGGAGGGGGGGGTGCAAATCGAAAGTTTGAGGGGGGTGCAGATAAAAAATGTGTCCCCGGGCGCCGGGAAGGGTCGCTGCGCCTCTGGAGGGGTGACACTATTGAGTGCCGCACCGGGTGACACCCGACCTCGCTACGCCACTGGAAACGCGTCATCACGTTCAATAGGTGCGCAACTCTAGTGTAAATAAAAATGTCAAGTACTAAAAAAAATTCATAAAAATCGTGTTAATAACACGCTTTTATGTAATAACTAGGCATACTGCCTAGCTTCGCTTTAGGTTTTTAAAAAAAATTGAGGAATTGAATAATTAATTAATAGGTGATTGGCTGCTATCTTAAATGATTAGGGCCTAAATTTATGCAGTGGAGTATTGGCATACCACCCAAATATTGATGGAATATTTGCAAACTTATTACTCGCACGGTTATTAGAACTGCAAGGGGTTTCTCAATAGTATCAATCAAATATTATAATAAATTACTTACGCAATTAATTTTTACAATTTCAGTACAATGCAAAACTTAATTTCTAACAAAATATTTATTTAAAACAATGCTATACTCTATGATTTTTGTTTTTTTTCTTGAAAAGAGAATACAAAATTTTTAAAAACTATTACATTAAAAAGTTACTTCCCCTGTTCATAGACCAAATGACCGAATCTCGTATAAAGAGAATTTCACTCGCGGTCACTTTTTAGCCCTCGTCGAGGGCTTTGAGTGAAACCGACAGTTTTTCCTAAAGGTCAAGCCATTTACCTAAAAGCATGCAAAAAATTAGCCAGATGTAAAGACGGTAAGTGCCCTCAAATCCGTTTTGAAATCACCCTCTGTTTTTCCAATAAAATACAAAGATTATATAGGGAAATACGACTGGTCAGTTTTGACCCATTTAACGAATTTTCCCGGACATGGCGAGTTTTTTGTGACACCCCGAGGCGTTCTCCTACCACCTTACAAAATTTCAAGGGGGGTCGTCGTCGGAAATCTTTTTTCGTAATATAGCCCATATAAGGCGCCGGTCAGTCGAGGTCAGTTTTGACCCCCCTCTCCGTGGACTTTTCGGCCAACCGTCACCGGCCCTCGTGTTCTAATGCCCCAAGGCACTATCGTGCCAAATTTGACGCGCCTGCGGCGCCGGGAAGTGCCCTATCGGGCACTTGACCACTTTGCTTTATATATATAGATGCACTAAAAAGTAGAAAATAAATTATACACTACTATTTAAATAGCTATAAACAAAAGCGTGGGTCTCTTTCTTAATATTAGTAAAGGTATCTAATAGATACTAAAGTGACCCACGCTTTTCTTTATATTTATTTAAATAGTAGTATATAATTTATTATCTACTTTTTTTAGTGCATTATTACATAAAAGCTTGTTATTAAAACGTTTTTTGTGAATTTTTTAAAAAAGTGTGTAGACCTGCCCACATTTTACTCATTAAATATTAATCGTAATCTATTTTGTGCAACATTTGAGTATGTCTAAAATAAATATTTACTAATTTTGTTTCAACCACTTAAAAATTAACAAATTATCGTTCATGCTCTGTAATTTTAATATAATTTTTCGACCAAATTAATTTAGTTACAAATATCGAGTAACAAAACAGTCGGCCTTGTTCAGCAGAAAGAATAAAAAAATTTCTTCAAGTACTTATTTTATGTTGTTATAAGGTTTTAAGACCTGGCGGTTCATATCAGTAGATTTTATCAGTGATAAGTTTCATGCACAACCGCCGCCTTTGATTTCCCTGTCACAAGACGTAGGCTTACCAGTCGAGACTGAATGGGATGACAGCAGTGGTGCTCTAGCAACTCCTAACCCTCTCCCCTCCACCTAATTGACGCGGTCGCACTGATAAGAATTAAATCTGTTAGGTAATCAAAGTTAATGAGAAACAGTGAAGACTTTGTAATGAATAAAATATTAATTTAAATTGAATCGGTTTGTGTTTCCTTAGAAAGAATTGGTCAGTACCGGTATAGGAGTTATGCAATGGGTACAATTTTTTTTCGAAAACCTAAGCAAAGCTAGACAGGATGCCTAGTCTTAAGGATGCCTAGTTTCTTAAACTGAATTGAACATTATGTGTACGATCTTTCATCAGGTTAGTGGTGATTGTGAGCTGCTACAAATTAACAAAAAGTTCTTTAAGAAACACTGTGATGAATCTGTGAAAAGCCTCATCAGATTAGAGGTAGTTTTTGTTAGTGAATACATTCCTTATTTCAATCTTACATAGCATGTACACAAGACACTATAAAAAAAAGAGGTATCTGCTTTCACATCTGATATAACTAAAGTGATTAAATTGTTCAATGTAACTTACCACCTACGCTTTAAAAAGTTTTTTTTTAAATGTCTAAAGTCAAAGAAACTGTTAAATTTATTTGAACAATCTAAAAAGTTTGTCTCATTATACTGTTTTTTTTTTCTTTTAAATACAGGACAAGCCTTACCCAAGTGACGATGACCTGGTCGATAAACATATAATAAGTATGCAATGGGAGAACTATAAAGAAAAGACGACATGGGAATTGCATCGATTGAAGAAAAGATTTTAAAACAACCATTTTATCCCTACTTCTCATCCTGAAGGTTTTCATTTTCACAGACAAGGCCGCATTGAAAGAAGAAGTGGACTGCAGAATACATATAGTATATACATATTTATAATCATAACAACACAATGTACACAGTAGCGTACGCAGGGGGGGGGGGGGGAGCAGGGGGAGCGGCCGCTCCCCCTCTGGCCATTTTCAGCAAAGTGGCGCCTTTTTGGAAACTTTTTAAACCCAAAGTTTTAAACAATGATATTAATTAAAAAATATTTTTGGTCGGCACATCTATGTAAATCACAAGATTTCTTTTCATGCAGCAATTAAGCATTATTGTACTAGTCTAGTAATGTCTACGTTTACAACACGTATTAACAGCTGCATCAGTTTGCCATTCTAAAAATAGCCATTACGATGCATTGCAATGTTTAAAAAACCTCTACGGGTAGTACCACTTGGCAAGAGGGGTGTTAAGTTTAAGGCAACTGTATAATGTATTTGCTTACGAATAATTGAATTAGAAAATGTTATACATAAAACTTCACACATAATTACTCTATATATACAGTTTGAATCGTGTGATTAATTAAAAAAAAAATTACAATACAGAAACAAATACAACTGATGTGGCACCTCTATTAAAATTTACTTATGAGCAAACTGCGTAGTGGTGGGGAAATTTTGACAAGGTCAAAAACGTCATCACGATGAAGTAGTAGTATTCTTACAGTTTGGGCGATAGTGATTACGATTACAAATTATATGAAACAGTTACAACCCCCCCCCCCCAACCCACCCCGAACTTATCTGTTAAGTACATGTAGAAAAACGCGTAATGATGTACCAAAGTACCATGCCGCCAGAAAATTAGCTTTTTAAACGTAAAACTCTGTGAATATTGTTTTTGCAATTAACATTAAAATGTGTGTGATCAATACAGTGATCTACCATACCTATCACTATGTTAAAAAAATGATCCTTATAGAACACAAAGAAGCAGTAGTTCATTAAAAGTATGCGATCTGTACTAAAAGACCGATATTTAGTTAAATGTAGGCTGTTAATACGAATGTTTAAATATTTTATTGAAAAGCGTGGTTTTATACCAACTCTGATTTTAAAAACTTTCATTATGCTGTAATACTTTAGCATTTATGAGGACGGTATATTAAATTCTGATTATAGACAAAAACATTTTGTAAACACGAATAGTGTTAAACAATTTCATTATATTCTAAAGTAATTATTTATTTGTTTTGATATTTATAATTAAATGCGTAGATATATACATATTTATATTAAGAGAGTGATTATTTCCCCTATTTCACTTGTCTTAAATAATTTCCCCAGGGATTATTATGTAAGAAATTTTTTTACAAGAATTACAAAACAGATTGTGTTACGTTCATTGTTTTTGGTTGTAGTGTGTGTGTGTGTGTGTGTGTTTTTGTTTTTTCTTTAGATTGATACAATTTTTGTTTTGTCGGCCTACATTGTGTGTTTTTTTTTCTTATTTCTTCAGAGTGCTAGTTTCATAGCGAAGTAATGACATACAGCTAGTAATTATATATATATATATATATATATATATATATATATATATATATATATATATATATATATATATATATATATATATATATATATATATATATATATATATATATATATATATATATATAATACACGTATATAGAACGTGTTAAAAATTCGGCGCCTTTTTTTGCACTTTCCGCTCCCCCTACAACGAAAACCTGGATACGCCTCTGAATGTACATTAGCCTACTTCATGTACATATATATGTTAAATGTGACGTGCTTTGTTAGGTTGCGTTCAACTCCTTCTTGCAGCACCAAAATGCGACAGAAGTGTGTAACCACCTGTTGTGTGTGTATTCTAAAATCAACAGACCTCCAATTTCACAAGTTCATACAGTGGCGGAACTAGAAAAAAAGTACCATATATATATATATATGTATATATGTGGGTGGGTGGGTGTATATATTGTCGAGATTATCAATGTTTAGTTAAAGACTTTTAAACTCTAATTATTTATTAACTGAACAGGCGAAAAGCATTTTTTTTTCTTCTATATATTTTGCAATTTTTCGTCTTGGTGTCATCTCCCTAAATTTGAAATTTAAATAAAAGCGCATATAAAATGTGCTCGCTTGATCAGATGTGTCGGGCTTACGAGAAACAGGGGGAGAGGTGGTTTGTTATAAAACACTTGTAGCGAGAAGTGTTTGTAAGGTTCAGTAAAGCAATATAACGTCAGTTGATTAGATGCATTTTCCCCAACCCATATAGTCATTAATATCTAGATAGCCACAAATGACATCAAAAAGTTCGGTCTACAGCCCCACTAACTCACCTTCTTAATAAAAAATATTTTATGACTGCTTTCAACCTCTGATTACATTTAGAATAAGTAGTGTGTAAAATTGAAAGGTACACAGCGTCCATGCGCGATCACGCTTTCAATAAAGAACAATGTTAGGTAATCTTAACACATTCATACGGCAATTTTATAAGCTGTACATTAACTGACGTCATGGAAAAGTTTTTATTCAAACATTAAACTCCTGTTTCCAGACTTTTTAAAAAGCCAACCCGAAAAACTAGTGGATTTCTTAATAAAGTTTAACGTTTACTTTCTAGATATTTTCCAGACTTTGCACGAACGCTGACAGCGCCAGAGGCGTAGCGACCCTTCCCGGCGCCCGGGGACATACTTTCAATTTGGCGCCCCCCTCGGGAGCAAATTTTCGATTTGCACCCCCCCCTCGAACTTTTCATTTGCACCCCCCCCCCCCTCAAACTTTCAATTTGGCGCCCCCCCCCTAAGGTCGGC